TGTGTGTGTGTGTGTGTGTGTGTGTGTGTGTGTGTACCTGAGCGGCAGGTGTTGCTGTATCTTGGCGATGAGCCCCATGCTGGGATCCGAGCGCATGTACATGGTGGCCAGGATCGCTATGACGACGAAGAGCCAGGAGGAGGGGCTGGCGGGGTACACTCCCTTAATCACCCTGTTCTGTTACCACAGAAGAAGAATCAACATCAGTCACCTGAAAAAACCTCTGGCTCCTGCTCAGACAGAGAATCTGAAGAATCGACGCTCGGGGACTCGTCTGTGTGTTTGCAGAATGTGTGGCCTCGATGTTCACGTGCATGAGCGAGACACATGAGTAACAAACGCCGCTGCACGCGCTCCAATGAGCAGCAGCGTGTCCGTCCAGCAGGAGGAACAGTCGTGTCGGGACGTGTCAGGAAAGACTCATCATTTGAACCTGCTGAGGATTCACACCTGTAATGAAGCTGTCTGAGTTCAGCTCCCTCACACAAATCACATCCCGTCCTCCTCCTGACTCACACACCCAGACAACGTCAGGCATGAGGAAGTGCATTGCACACCTGCAGACACACACACACACACACACACACACACACACACACACACACACACAGCAGCACAGGATGCACGAAGGGATTTCTCCTCCGTCACGCTCACCCTGATGCGGCTGACTCGTTTCTTCCACGATCGGACTCCGGACAGGTAGATCTGGTTCAGAGCCTGGTAGGACAGCTGGAGGTCGATGCCCTCCGGGGTTATGGTGAACTGGAACGCCACCGCCTGGTGGGCCTCCGCCATCGCTGAGGAAACAAGTGAACCAACATTTAGACGGAAGAAACAAATTCACGTTTGGATGTTGGGGCGTGTGACACACAGACAAATGCATAATGAGATAATGCCGACACGTTGAATATATGGAATGAAACTTTGAATATATACATTTGTCTGTGTGTCTGCAGAGCGCTGTGTGAGTAACATGTCGCGGATCATCAAATACGTTCAATACTAAACGAAATGTTCAGCCTGCATTGGTCTATGAATGCGGGTGATTCTTATTGTATCTAAACAAATTATGAAGAGCTTCTCTTTCAGTTCATGAAATCCCCGTAGCCGCAGCAGCTTCGCCAGTGCCGGAGAAGAGAGCAGTGCCATTACGCACGGCCCTTCACTGTGTTTCACCTTCATTAAATCACAGGTAAACTATATCAAGCTGACCACACGGTGTCTTGGGCCCTTCCTTGTGTACGGGTGGAGATTGTTCTCTGGGTGTTGTCAGGTTCTCCTGTGAGGTTGAAGACACGCTGAGGTCGGCCTGATAAACAGCTGCCTGCTGTAGGAGCTCTGCCACGATTCAAAAGGGAGCGAACTTCCTTGTCAGAAGAACGGCATTGGGCGGGGCTATCGGGGGGGATTTGGGTGTGTTACTGACGTCCTCATAGTTTAATATTGCTGCAACGAGATTGTGAGCGGACTAACTCACAGTCAGCTATAGCATCCACACGTTACACAAGATGGCCGCAGGCACTGCGGTGAAGTCTGACGTCAGTCAAGTTGCATTCCATATATTCAAAGTTTTAATTTCCTGAACGGCATGCCATAACGTGTATATACATGTATATGAATATACATGTATATGAATATACATGTATATATACACATGTATGTACATATGTGGTTTGGGGGGGGGGGGTCCTGCTCTTTTTAAAAGGACAGGAACTTGCAGCTGTTGCAGATGAACGAGGTCTCTGGTTTTATTCTGAATGGTGACATGACTAACTCAACCTATAGAAAGAAGGTCAACATGTTATCCTATGAGGTCGGCTGTCTGTGCATGTCTGTGCATGTCAGTGCATGTGTGTGCATGTGTGTGCATGTGTGTGCATGTGTGTGCGTGTCTGTGCGTGTGTCATCTTTCTCTCTGTGCAGCCATGCGACTGATTGCTGCATAGTTGTCACTTCCAACTGCTGTTTAACTGTTTGTCTGCGAGTGAGTGAATGAGAGTGTGTGTGTGAGAGTGTGTGTGTGTGTGTGTGTGTGTGTGTGTGTGTGTGTGTGTGACCCTTCATGATTCAACCATTTCTCTTTTGCCAGATTCGTTTTGGTGAGTTCACCCAAAAAGGAAAAAACGATACACGAACTGAAAATACACGAGAGAATAATAAATCCTGAAACCTCCACATATGAAATGTATGTTTGAGACACCAGCACCTGTAGAGTGACGATCAGCAGCATGCTAAGATCATGTAAAGAACCTCTGCCTCCTGTCCTTCACACACACACACACCAACTCCACAGAGTCGTCTCACGTCCACACTGCTCAGACTCCCAGAGACGCTCAAACAAAGTTCAGTTTGAAAACTTCGGATCTGTGTTTCAGTCTGAAACGAGCAGAAACTGAGATGTTTGGAACCGATGACGTGGAAACACACGACAATCGGTTCAAACTGAAAACCCTGGTGTGGACAGACACCTGCCGAGGGACGTGCAGGGTTCAGGAGGCCGACACAGAGCGACTCTGGAATCCGGTTGTTCTCGCCTGTACAAATTTCAGTGATTGTCCACTGTCTCCACTAAAGGGTTTGACAGATGTCTCACCTTACATGTCCCTTACTGAGTTAAGCACCTGGTTGTGAATAAATACTCGTGTGTGTCAAACTCTCTACGTCTCACCCTCGAGACAGAAGTGGTATTTTTTTTTTTAAACCTCAGGTAGTCGAGCATCACTTCCTGCTGCTTCTAACAAATGACAAGAATTTTCTCAGAGAAAATAAGAGAAGTGTTTAGTTCCCGTCTCTGAAGCTGCGACGGGAACTAACACAACAGTTCCATGATGAACAAGCTCTGACTCCGCTTCACATGAGACGTGAGGTTCGTGGACAAAACTTCAAATTAGGGTTTGATTGAAGACGAAGCTGTCAGACGGGTTCGACCTGCCGGAGCAGAGGAGGAGCCGAAGCTGCAGAGCGTACACACACACACACACACACACACACACACACACACA